GAAGGGTAAACAAAGGAGGAGGCTGCAATGCTTGGTAAGAAATGTACGCATTATCCTGCCCATGTAATTGTAACTCCTCTGTACAGTATGTTCACAAATAAAATAAAATTAAATTAAAAAATATTATATGTGATAATACTTATACATTTATATCTAATATGTGATCATATTTATCTCAGGTGACAGATGAATGGATATATAACTTACAATACTTGGCTTTATTTAAAATTAAGTCTGTGGATTTTTTTTTTTTTTTTTTTGGTCAGTCATGGGGCTTGAACGCTGGGCCTGGGTGCTGTCCCTCAGCTCTTCAGTTCAAGGCAAGCGCTCTACCACTTGAGCTACAGCGCCACTTCCGGCTTTCTGGTGGTTTATTGGAGATAGGAGTCTCACGGTCTCTCCTGCCCGGGCTGGCTTTGAACCGAGATCCTCAGATCTCAGCCTCCTGAGTAGCTAGGATTACAGGCGTGAGCCACCAGTGCCTGGCAAGTCTGTGGATCTTTATCGTGGTTGTCCAGGGCTTGAACCTGTCTCACTATTTTCACAACAGAGTTGTGCTGTGCCGAGAGGAGAAATTCATTATTGATTTGGAAGAACAGCTCTCCATAGAAGAGGAAAAATTTTCTATCCTTTCCCCTTGAAATTAGTGCTCTCATCTTAGCTAGCATTGTTATGACCTACATAATATTTTTATGTTTAAATAAGTGTCTGCTTAGCAGAGAAGTGATTTCGTTATTAGGCTGCAGATTGAAATGAAGATTCATTTTATTTTTCACACTTAAATTGGATAATATATAGAGCTAATCTACATACATATACAGTTGCATACATGCATTTTTATAAATACATATTCTCTATAGTATGTATACTCTCCATATGTGTGTGATATACAATTTCTAATGGAAAAACCAGACTGTAGAATTCTCTTAAGAGTTTGATGATTGTGAATAAAATCAATACAGTAAGGACATCCATTCAGTACTGTGGTGTGTTCCCGAACTGCTGCTGTTACCCTGTGTCTGCTGAATTCTTTCTGTGTGCACTCCCTCCTTTCCTCTGAGAAGAAGGTGTGATATTTCACTGGGTTGTAGGTGGCAGTATACACAGCTAAATCCTGTGTGCTTGCAGCAGGTAGCCCAAAGAGATCTTCTCCACTCACTGCTTTGTTTGATTTGATCGTTATTTGATCTTTTGGTGCTGGGCATTGAACTCAGTGCCTCACCCATGCTCCACCACCCAGGTCCGTCTCTCGCTGGTGAGAATTTGGGGCAACAGCTTCCTGTGTGAGCTGTCTTCCATTCCAGCCCTTTTCAAACCTATTCCAGTGGTATTAGTATCAGGAAAGCCGAAACGGTCTCCAGCTGAGAGCTGGAAGTATTTTAATCTTATTCTGAAAAACGATGAAGAAGCCTTTAACATTTTACCAAGTTAAGAGCATTGCTGAATCTAGCTAGATGAGGAAAGAGCGTACTAGTCACTGACCAGTTGCATTACCATTAAAATGTGAGCTTGTTCCAAAAGGAACTTGTCCAAGGCAGAGACGGGTAGTGACGAACGAGCGTGTCAGAGCCCCTGTGGGATTGCTGGTGTGGGTGGTGTGCGAAGGCCTGAGGAGGTGTGGGGCCCACTGCCGTGTCCACTTTCCATGAAGACCAGCCCCAGAGGGACACCTGGAGTGCTAGCCGCACGACCGGACCGCCCTCCACACCTGCCTTGCCAGGACCTCAGCTCACCAAAGGTCTCTTGAAGGTCACTGGAGACAACCTGGGCTCTGGGACTGTGGTCCAGAGGAGGGAGGTGACAACCACACACCAAGCGCTCACTCTGGATGTGACGTCTGCTTCCCCGTGGGGCCTGTGCAGGGGAGGAGGCCCGGTGTGGGCAGGAGCACATTGGGAACACGGTGGCACTATCTCCGCCGGGTTGGTGGTGAAGAAGAGTATCTTTGCCAAGTAAATAATACTCATTTGCTTTTATTAGTGTTTTTTTTAAAGCATTGTTAGTTTTGTCTATTCCCATTGTAATCTGTCTGAAACACTGCATATTAATTATTAGCTCCTAGGCAACCTGTAACTTCAAAATAGATAGTCCTTTATTTCTATTTTTAATTTAACTTCAGTTTTAGTAGCCCCTAAAGGCATACAGAGCCTTGCATGTTTGTGAGGTACCATGTTACATGTTTACATAGCATAATGTTTAAATTGGGATAAATATATCATTCCCCCAAATAATGTTCATTTCTCTGTGCTGGAAACATTCAAATTCCTTTCTTTTAGCTCTTTGAATTATGCAGTACTGTTGTTGGTATTCTTGTGAATACTCCCATACATGCTGGCCAATTGTTTAGGGCCATTTGGTTATTAAAACTAGGGTATACATAAACATTACCGATTCTAATATGAAAAGAAAAACAGACTTAAAGCCAGATGGAAATGATTTCTTCAAACTCATTTTTCACTTTTCTTTCTGGAGGCTATTAAAGACAGACTCTCGAGATGTGTATACCTGATAAGCACTTTCAAATGAACTTTATTGTTTCATTTGATAAGATACAGCTCTCTAGCAATTGGAAATCTTGAATGGCCTCAATAGCATAAGCTCCAGGGGTCTACAGGAGAATAGATACCGTGTTGTGTTCATTTCAGGCGAACAGATACTGTGTTTTGTTCATTTCAAAAATAAACTCAAATCAAGAAATCAGTTCAGATGGCTCCCATCCCTGCCTCTGTTGGGTGGAGCGGTGGTGAGCTCCTGGTTGTGGGAGATGAGTCCGCGGGGGCTGAGGGTGAGCCTCCGGGGCCTGAAGCAGGCGTTGTTCTTCAAGCAACCACGTTTCCCCAGGAAAGGTCACCCCGAAATTGTATTAAAGTAAGCTCGACGAGATTTCCAGCTTTTTCAGGACATGTCAGTCCATCTGACTTCCCTAATTCTGTAGATCCAAGTAAATAGTCCTGGAAGGAAGGATGCGATCCCCAGGGAGAGGCAGACGGAGAGGTCATTGGAGGAAGTGGTGGCCGGGACTGTCACCGGTTCCCAGTTCACCTCACAAACCTCACTGTCCACTGAGGGCCAGGAAGCCGGGATTCGCTAAGGTCAGCCTACGCGGGCTGGGCCCTGCCTGCAGGGCTCACACCGCCACGAGGTGCTGTCTAAACTTTGGTCCTGTTGAAGTTTCAGGCCGTGGCCAGCATGCCTCCACCCAAGCATATGTATTTACTTACCATCTGCATGCATTCTGTACTTATTATAAGAAAACAACATGCCATGATGTATTGGGAGATCATGCGGGTCTCTTGAAGATCCTCTCTGTACAGAATTACTCTCTGGTCCCAGGGACCAGGGGCCAGGCCTTCCTCTGAATCCCTTCCCTACCCCCACCCCAAAGGTTATGACTGCAGGCCATGGCTTCCACAGGAGAGATGGTTAGGGTGTGGATGTAGATAGAGAGTTGTGGGGTACGACGGCAAGGTTTAATCTGGAGCAGGGTTAACAAAGCACACTAACAGAAATAATACGCTCAGGAATTGGTCAGGATTCGTTATTTTAAACCTGTTTTGCAAAGAAAATAATTTGATAGGCATTGCCTCATTTTAAATTGTTGCTAGGTATACGACATCACTACAGATTCCATTCAATTTAACTTTTAAATCCATTTATTAAATTTAGAGCTTTATCAAATCTGTTTTGCCGTTAGCTTGTATTTTAAATATATTATTATTTATAGGTTTTCAATGAATGAATGAATGCATTTTTATTATGATGCTTTGGAATGTTTGAAAAATCACATAGAGACCAATTTACCTCTGTATATCATGAGTTCTACATATATGTAGAAGGCATGTGAAATTATGTAAGCATTATGCTGCTGACTTAATTTCATCATGTAAATTTAGACTGAGCGTCTTAGTTTCTGTTGAAAGATTGTTAAATTTAATATAGTATCGTAATGGGAGAAATGAAGTAATTAAGAAACCCAGGGTTACCTATTTAATTAGCCTATTTGTATCCTCAGAAGAATTGTTACTCATGAAAGTGTGGGGGAGTCAGCTAATTGACCCAGAGAATTTCCCTTTCTCATTTGCATGTCTCCCTTCCTTCACCATTCAGTTCTGTTCACCCTAGAATGCCTCACCTACACGCTCACTGCATGCCTCTCTGTCTCTAAGCCTGTGAAACTCATCACAACCACGGTCAACGTTAGCCCCATTTTGTTATAAAAGAGCAAAAACAAACGTCACGAAGCCACTGTGTGTATTTTTGCAATAAAGGTGTTTCAGACATGAAGATAACATCACCTCGGTCTTTGGGATTTAATCTGCTGACCGTGGAAATAAGGCTGAGCTGAGGTGTCTTAGTCCACTCAGGGTGGCTGGGTTACCGAGTGGATTCTTCCCTTCTGGGTCACCTATGCCCTTTTCTAAACAACCTTCACCTCATTGAAATATTTCCTCAGAAAGCACGTTCCAACTTAGAACCTGGTGAACGCAAGGCATTATGCCTTCAATAACCTAGAGAAAGAACCTGACCTTCTCCTCTCTGCACTCTGAGATTACACGTTTGGGGAGAAACAACACAGAAGGAAGCAGCCCAAGGAGAAGGATTTTGAAACTCGGTGTGAGTTTCCAGCCCTGTTCTGGAATCAAAGAGAGGAGGGAAAACCGCAGGCACAGTTAGAGCACAGAGAGAGATGCCCCAGAGAAACCAGCCCCAGGGCCGAGGAGGGCTCTGGAGCCATGTAAAGGAGACAGGATTTTAGTCATTAGTGAGACTCCTCAGAGACGGCTCTGCATTTGCAGCGTGGAGTCACCTTCTATTCTACGGTTACAGGTAAGTCCGTCCGCTCATCTGGTTTGCTCACTGGCTTTCCTGGGTAAGTTTCGCCTTTGCAGATGCAGGGCGCGGACCAAGGCCAGGAGGTTCCCAGCCCTCACATGCAGGGCCCATGGCCGGCAGCACTTCTCAGAGACCACACCACAGGGGACACCATGTGGAACTGGATCTCCCAACAGAGCATGCTTAACACAACCGGCATGTCTCCATTTAACTGTTTTTCGCTTCAACCTCAGCCATGGGAAACTGGCTTCTGTCACTCAGAAAAAAACACAACCGTGATGAGTTTTCAGGAGTTTTAAGGAGATTTCTGGGGATGCAGATGAGTTGATTCAAAACCGGAGTTTACTCCAGTGTTTGGACTGTACTGCCTAGCATGTGTCATGCAATTAATTCATATAATATTAATTCAGAATTCCTGAAAGTTTTATGTTGAACATATTTTAGTATCAAATAGCCTTATATTAAATATGGCAAGTAAACAAATAGTGGAAATACTCAGTATAATACATCTATATACTTAGAGGCTTATTAGAGAGATCTTTAGAGAGAGATTTGACATTTTAAAGATAGTTGAAAATGTTCAGAAGTTATTTCTCAAGGCTGGGAAGGTGGCTCAGTGGTAGAGTGCTTGCCTTGCATGCATGAAGCCCTAGGTTCGATTCCTCAGTACCACATAAGCAGAACAAGCTGGAAGTGGCTCTGTGGCTCAAGTGGTAGAGTGCTAGCCTTGAGCTGAAGAGCTGAGGGACAGCACCCAGGCCCAGAGTTGAGGCCCCACACTGGAGGGATTTGGGGTGAGGTGGGGGGAAGTTATTTCTTAAGCAGTATAGGTGACAATGACAGATCAGTAAGTCCAACATTGATCCTCTTTAGACTTTTTTCTTTTTTAATTGGGTGATTTTCAATGTTTTAAGTTGAAATTTCAATCAGGTCTTTCAGTGTTCAAAACCAGAGGTCCACCGCCCGCCCGGCCTGGAGTGGCATTGGTCACTGGCAGCGGGCCAGGTCTTCATCGTCCTCCTCAGACCTCGCGGGTTAATACATCAGTGCTCTGGGCGTCTGCACACGGAAGCACGCTTCTCTACCTCCATCCTCTCAGAAGAGTCATTACAACTTGGGGTTCAGGCTTTACTAGTATTGCCTTACTGTGGTCATGCAGATTGCCGATCCCCACGCCGAGTCGTTAGTTGGGCGGGGGCATTTGTATTTGCCTTTGTGCAGCCGCTCATATCCAGTCAGGGGTGTGCCGAGCCACAGTGCGGTGGAATTGGCCTGTGTCTCCCATTCCAGGCTCCACATACTGCTGAGACCTCTCCCTCTTCAGGCCCTCTCCTAAACTCTCCTAGACTTTCCTTAGCATGGTGTCTCATGTTGAACATTTCAGTAGCTCTGAGATTTGAAGTGCACGCACTTCTGCACATTAATCTCCTTTGCTTAGTAATGAGAATCCCCCCGTTTCAGAGGGAGACGAGGCCGGTTGCTGCCTGTCTCTGGGACGCTCACTGGCCTGTCCTGGTGTGGACCCCACGGGTGCTGTCCAGCCCGTTCTCCTCCTGACAGAGATGGACACCGGAGCACCTTCGCACCGTCCCGCTGGGGCTGGCCACTCTTGTCAAACTGTTTCCATTTATTTTGAGTCTCTTTGGCTGGGCCTCCTGAGGCTGTAATCATTAGCGGAAGTTCGCAGAGAGGAGAATTCACTCCAAATGCAGACACTTTTATTTAGAACACAAGGCTCTCGGGGATTTCTTCTCATTCTTACTTGATTCGAGGTATATAGCTGCACCTTTGGCTTTAATATGCTTATTATAAACCCTGGCCACTGTGTCTGTTTTCTCTGGCTTTAAGAGAGAGGTGGAAAAGTCTTTAGTCTGCCAAGAAATTTTATTTGCTTCTAAATTCTAACAGACCCATTATATAACCGTATTAGATTAAGACTTCCATGGTGCAAATAAGGGTTGAGGCTTCTTTGTTGATAGAATATGAAATCACCCTTCGGCATTTTTACATGTGACAGTTATTTTGTACTTAAGCGGAAGTGCATGAGCTTTGTATCGAGTGAAGAAGTTGGATTTTCTTCATGTTCATACTCACTGAAACCTGCCAGCCACATAAAACAGCTGCCTCTCTGGGCACTGGAGGTTTGTCATCCTAACTACTTGGGAGGTGGAGACCTGAGGATCACAGTTCAAACCCAGCCCCAACAGGAAAGGTTGTGAGACTCTTATCTCCAATAAACTACTCAACAAAAGCTGGAAGTGGTGCTTTGACCTTGAGCACAGAGAGGCTCAGGGACAGAGCCCAAGCCCTGAGTTCAAGCCCCAGGACTGGCAAAAGCAAAACACAAAACAAAAAACAAACAAACAAACAAACAAAAAGCAAAACAAAACAAAACCCCACAAGACCCAGCTGCCACTATGTGAGAAGGCTTTCTTGTGTGGTGGTAGATGGGTTCTCTCTGTGAAAATGACCTTACACTAAGCATGCAGCCCCTCCTTGAAAAAAAGTGTGTGCTGTGTGATCCAGGTGGGTAGACTTACACGATGGCATTTCAGTCATGTTTCTAACTGTGGATGTGCACATACACACATTGTCTCTTTATCTGTGTGTCTATAAAATGTTTTACATAAATACCATTTCCTTCCATTCCCTTTCCCTGCCCTCCTCCCTCCCTCCCTCCCTCCCTCCCTCCCTCCCTCCCTTCTTCCCTCCTTCCTTCCCTCCTTCCTTGATTCCTTCCCTCCTGAATAAGCTTGAGTACATAAATACATTTTTGGCTTCGGCTTCGGTCTTCTATGAAGTACCTATTTGTTTCCAAGTTTACTTGAAAACTCCTTCATCAGTTTTACTTGTTGCAAATATCTTTTTCTGTTCTGTGCCATCCTTTCATTGTAATTATGTCGACTACCTTAAATTAAAAAAATATCATGCACATTAATGTGCTTTGCATTCAGTTTAAAATTCTTTTCTGAGACTATAAAAATTCTTTTCCATTATGTTATTTTTATAGTGTTCTTTTTAAGGCTTTACAGTGTTTTTTATTAGTTTGTTACGTTTTTTCTCCTATGAGTTTACAATTTCTGGATATTACATTTTACATACCATGATTGTTATGTTCCGGTGTAATTTTCTGTGTAGTTATAATTATCCAGCGTTGTATCCCGTTTCTTTAAGAGTTTTCTTCTTTTGCATTGCCTATTTTTTCAGAAACAAGGTCGTGGCTGCAGGGTGGGTTTTAGGCTTTCTGCTCTGCTTCCAGAAGCCAAGACTCAGCCTTATTGATTACTGCGGTTTAGCAACGCATCTCAATATCTTGCTATATTAATATTTTTAAAGACCTTGGCACTTTGATTCCCACATACATATTTTAAGTAAATGGCCATGTGCCTGCTCACTAGGAAAATGCTGTCTTGATGGCATTAACACAGCCAACACACTAGGAGAAGTCATGGCTCCTCAATATTGATTTTCCAGCCCAAGAAAATACTATAGATCTGATTTATTTAGTTCTTTGATATTTCTTAGTATAATTTTGCAAAACCTCACACATCAGTTTTGAGTCTTTGAATAGGAATATTAAAGCACTAATGATACCAAAAACATTCTTATTGATCTATAACTGGTATATACAAATTCTATTAAATTTGTGGGTTCTATATCTTAGAACATTTCTATATTCTTACTGACTCAGAATATTTTAAAAATTATTTGATCTTTTTAAAAATTAGAAGTGCCACCTTTCTTAAAGGTTATACTATTTTATTATTCCTCTTGTTTTCCTATAGTGGTGGTTGATTCTAATTCAGTTCTCAATAGAAGCTATGGTAGCCATTCTATTTTTGTTCAATCTTAGAGGAAAACTTTCCAATTAAATGTTGTACAGCTGTGAGAGATATACTACTACTAAGAAACTTGTGTCTTCTAGTCTTCTCACCTTTTTATAATGAATTAATTTTGAGTACTGGTAGAACAGTACCTAGAGAGGAATATGTGTTTTCTTTTCTCCCTTAATATTAAGATTTTTAAAAATATGTATATTAATTTTCTGTTAAACAATTTTGCTTGCTTTATAGATATCTAGCCGATCACAGTGCATGTATAGCATGTCCACCATGTACAAACTTGTTAGAATATTCTACCACCTGGGCCAGCATGCATATACATTTTTCTTGGAGGTTTCTTGTCAGTGTGAGACTAACCTAGTCAGTTTCATTATGAGAAGATATTTCATTATAACATAACTATTTTATTGACTTATTAACTTGATTCTGATATAACTGAATGAATAAATGGTCACGAGCATTTATATATATTATTCCTTATTATATAATATTATATATGTATAGTACATGTATTTTAGTTATATGTACTATAATTTTAATATATTATAAATAATATATAATCATATATGATATATATGTATCTAATATTGTACACATATAATGTATATACACATTAAATATATTATACAAAATATATAATTTATAGTATATATAGCATATATTTATGTATACATAAATATATATATACATAGGCACATGTATATACATATACATATATATACATTATATGTTATAAAATATAATAATGTAGTATATGAAGTATATATATGTACATATTCATCTATTTGTTTTAAATCTTTCAATAAGTTTTTGTTATGATTTACTTATGCAGAGATTTGTCTTATTTCTTTAAAGAGTTCAGATAGATTATTAGTTGTGTTCATCATTGCCTATGACTTTATGCTAGCCAGCATCTGTCTCTTAAAGAAAAAAATCATTGGAGCATGTTGTGACACCAGAGAATGTCCCTTGTAGTGCGTTTGCTAGAATTTCCCCTTCCTAACCCTGAACACGCAGTCGTGAGTGGAACCGCCTTTCTTTGCTTCAGATAATCAGAATTTGTTTCTGTCTTCATGTCTTTGATGTAGAAAGTGGAACACGGCTTTCCAAGTGGTGGAGAGTAGAGGTTGGGAGAGGGAGGTGGGGGCGGAGAAGAGAGAGGAGGGAGGGGAGCGCAGAGGGGAG